TTGAGCGATCTTTAAATATTTCTTGATTTCAAATTAAAAAAATAGGGGAATATTTTTTCCGCTATAGAACAATCCTAGGGGTGAGAACATAAAAATTCCGACTTTACTTTTTCTTCGACCATCCTAATGTACATATATAGCTGTTGCTTATTATTTTAAGTGCCTATAGCTAGATATAGTTACATAAGTACACATGTATGTACATAAATACATATAAGTCATGTGAAAAATAATATGGACACGACATTTTNGAGTTCCCATTTTATGTAACAAAAATATTTTCCAAAAAATATCCTTTTAAAATTTTTTAGATGAGCATTGGCCCTTTGGGATACCACCGTGTACGGTAAGTGCTAAATTAAAGCTGAGTACTGAGAACGAAGGCGGCAGATGGTAGTGCCAGACAGGTTCTCCGGACCAGTTAGAAAGTATGTACGAACCCTGGCGCGAAAGAAAATTAATCAAATCAAACTATTTTGAATAGTAAATTGCAATTTGGCACCACTGTGGACCGCCCAGCTCTATCCTTGGCCAGAATGACCTCGCGGTGGCACATGCTCTGATTTTCCTTCAGCGGTCGATGAATTGACCCGGGACCTATCTTTGCGAGAGACGTCCACAAGTGGTCAAGAGAACTACTACTCTCTTTTCTTGGCGATACTGCTTCGACGGTTTCTCTGCTGGCTAGTTTTTCAGCCGCACAGTTTCCTGCAATATCGCAATGGTATAGATAATATTCCGACGAGGCCGAAAGTGAATCAAGGCGGCATTCATCTACAAGCTTCGAGCTATCACTGCCACGTAGCTGTCTACAGTGATCTGGAAGCCTAAGTTAAAGGTTGATGGATAGCTCCCAGGAGAATACCCCTCCACCGATCCTCCAAACAACTTCGACCTATACATGTTAAAGTTCACTGGTTCCTTCTAACCATTGCTCTCCGTCCACTTATCCCTTGGTGGGATGTGCGTGGAGAAAAAGAGCTAACTGGTGTCAAGCTAAACACGTAGTGATCTATATTATCGGAAATCCCTGATTTGTCTGCTAAGATTCCGTCGACGATCTCTTTCAGCATAAGCATTTGCATTAAGTTTTACTTAAGATCCATTCGATTGCAAGAGTGTTTACATTTGTAACATTTCATTATTTAGAGTTTGTGTGACTGAAGCAACAATAAAATTTGCATCAACCTCTTGATCTTGGGTAAGTACATATACTTTTTATAATAAAGTGAAACACATTGCAATGTAAACTTGGTTAAACTTATCTTCAATTAAATGAACGCAATGGTCTGTATGATTTTTGAAAAGTTTAATTTTCGGCGTTCTACAAATATTAATAAATCCATCGAATGGCGGGTTTCGTGATTCGTTTCGAATCTAATAAAATTATATTTGGAAGCATTTTTTTTAGCTACCCCTTGTTTACGTGCATTGTTTACGCACTAAATTTGTCACTTAAACGTAGACAATTTGTGGAAATGAACGACCTCTCAAACTAATTTGACAGTTAACACTGCTTTACAGCAAAAGTGTTCCATGGATGTCACTATAACTCCTAAGTAGAATCGCTCGCTGATTCCGAAAATCGAGTTAATTTTTTATTATATGGATAAGTTGTGAAGATATTTGCAATTTACCGTTATTCAGCTAAAAAAAGTGGGATCACTTAAACTCGTATTCTTACGAACCAATTGAACAATATTAATACGATATGTGGCAGATGAAAGCTGACAAAATTTTTCATAAACCGTATAAACACACATAACTTTTCTAGGTCTAATACTTTCTGAGAAATTGATAAAGTAATCCAGATTTTTTGTTTTTTTTTTATGACAAAAGTTCGAACTGCGACAGGGGGGAAAAAACAAGTTTTTGTGCAATTTTTCATACTTGTGTAAAGCCTGATGTTATGAAAAAATCAAGCTTTTAATGAAGAAAATATATGGATGAATAAAAAGTAATTAATGGTCAAATTAATATACGAAAAGATTTTTTGTATGAAAAATTCGCAGGAAACATTGTTACTCATACGCCATGTAGACATGAACAAAGCCCTATCATTCTCATATTTCAAACAAATATCCATGCGCATTTTCATTTTGCCGCTAATTCCTTTTTTTATTTATCAATTGTCCTTAATTAGTAGCATGATATTTTTGCAAAGAAACATGCTTTTATTTTTTCCCTCTTAAAGTTTGTATTTTTTCATCAAACAAGTATGTTTTAAGCAAAAAAACAAAAATTTTCACATAAAAATTTATGAGTACCATTAATTTCTTCATGATTCAAAGATTCGATCTAAGCTGCGTTGGAAGTAGATCCTTGCGACTCTGCGAGTTGCTGCAGTATACCAATTTTACTCAAACGGAATTATGTTCTTTAAAAACAGTTCAATAGTTTCAATATAACTTTGATATTATGAAAATGGTTTGAAAAAATTTAAAAAGACTCTTAATACTACTGTGTATGATCGATATACAATTTAATGGTTGTAGCTTCCTTGATAAACGAGTTATATTTATGTCAAAAACTTGTATCCGAACAACTACTGGTATAGGAGATATAGCTTATAAAACACCGATCTTGAGAATTTTTTCAGTAGACTTTCTATGATTATTTAGAAAATAGCTCATGATATTTCTCGGCTTTAGCCGTCCAAATGAAGTATTTTTAGTGTAAAACCCCATATAAATACATATGTTATAGTGACCCGACCTTTGTGATTTTCATGTAAGATTTTTGTTGAATATTGAAAGGACTTACATATAAAAAAAAATGCTCATATCTGCACAATCAGTTGTTATAGTGGACCGATTTTGCCGGCTTCGACAAATTGATTAATAAGAAATAAAAATACAATCGCCTACCAAATTTCAGTCGGATATCTCGAAAACTGACTCGAAGACTGGCTCTCGAAAAGGGACTAAATTGCATTCAAACAGTCGGACAGAGGGACATAGCTAAATCGACTCCGTTGGACGTTCTGGCCATTTAAGTACATATTTTCATAGGCGTAATGTTTTTGCGTAAAATTTAAGCACTTTACGACACTACAGCAAAATGATAAGAAACCTATTTTCGCAACTTGGCAAACTCTAATTGATTTAAGACCCACGACTTCTTCGAAAAATTTGCTTAGAACTACAAGTAGAAACCTTCTGTGCTAGACGCGCATAATCCAAAAAATTTTCTATACAAATTGACCTGCCCTAATGTAGATACACAAACTGGTTTTTCTTAAATTCAAGTTGTGCTTTACCATAAGTAATTAGTAATTTCTTAACTAATAAATTTATGTGCATTAGGGTGTTCCAAAAATGCGAAAAAGTAAAGTCGGAATTTTAATACTCTCCCCCCTAGGATTGTTCTATATCGAAAAAAATATACACCAAAAAATATTTAGAGGTCGCCCAAAGCGCTCAAAGTTTTCCATGTATTTGATATGGAAATAAAACAACTTTTCGTAGAAATGGTGTAGAATTCCTAAAAATCAATATTTTTCGATCGCAAGACTCTGTTTATTTTATTTTATTCCCATATAAACTTCATGGAAAACTTTGAGCGCTTTGAGCGAGCTCTAAATATTTTTTGATTTCAAAATAAAAAAGGGGTATATCTTTTTTCGCATTAAAATTCCGACTTTACTTATTTTGGACCACCCTAATGTACATACATACATATATTGATATGTTTGTACAATATGCATATGTATACCGACGTGAGTGCATTTGTAAAAACAATAAATATCAATAAAACAAATGACTTGCGCTTAAATTGAATTTGCTAACACTATTTATGGCCGTAAGTATTTTTAAAAAAGTTATATATGTTTATAATTTAAGTAACTTGCCGACTAAACATAAAAACCATAAAAATATCGATGCTAACTCGAAATGACGTTTAGTGACACTGACAAGCTATGAGCTATATTTGCAGTCTTTGCACTGCGAAAAATAGTTTTATATTACTCAAAAAATTTGGACGATAGTAAAAAGTGGAAAATATGTACATAGGTATGTTTTAACTTAACTTTATGCATAATCTATACTTTCACGCAGAGACCCAGAATAATAATGATTTCATGGTGGAGTTTTAAAAAAGTCATCAAAATTTTCGGAAGAACTATAAAAGTGTTCTGATTATGTGTGAGAAAAATTTTTTAAGTCATCGATAACTATTCTTTTAAGACTTATATAATAAGTCTTTTCATAGTAATTATCAGCGAGATAAATATTTTTAAGCCTTCAAAGACTTTCATTTTGAGACTTATTAAAATATTATAAAAGTCTTGTCATAATAATTATCATTGAGATAAATATCGTTAAAGGTGTTCTTACACGATATATATTTGCATCTGTAAATGTGACCTTTTCAATACATATGTAATTGCGTATGTCTGTCAAATTCACAGTCATTATTTAACTATTTAAAAATACGTTCTTTGACAACGAAATAAACTAAACTCAGATGATTCTACCTGTGTGTCAGATGAAAATAGAATAATTTCTATTTCGTATGTGCGTGCATCTGCTTTGTACAGAAGCAAATCTAATTTGCCTTTACACGATATGTTGGCATTTCCATATGTAAAAAGTGGCATGTACACATGCAAATACATATAATTATTATGAAACGACTTTTATAATATAAGTCTCAAACTAAAAGTCTTTGAAGACTTAAAAATATCTATCGCTCTGATAATTATTATGAAGGACTTTTATAATATAAATAAGTCCTGGAATAATAATTATAGATGACTCGAACAATTTTTATCTTAATATAATAATTATTGATTGACTTTTATTCTNGCTCCGATAATTATTATGAAGGACTTTTATAATATAAGTGCTGGAATAATAATTATAGATGGCTCGAACAATTTTTATCTTAATATAATAATTATTGATTGACTTTTATTCTTTCCTCTTATAAAAGTTATATCTCTGCTTTCACGGTAATGCAGGCAGTCGCATTTTGATAGAAATAATAAAGGAACTTACCTCCCAGTAGCGTTTAATAATGGTCGGACTGAAAAGCGATGGGTTGTTCAAAGGCGTACGGGGCTCTGTAATGTTATACAAAATTTAATAAATATATTTTGTACCATATTATTAACTTTTGCTACTTACTGATACTGTGTTGTAGACGTGCGCGCATAAGCTGCTTGAATATTTGTTATAATAAAAAGGAATAGCATTATTTTCAGTTAAAATTTTCACAGGTTTCTCGCTTACCGGATGCTGGCTTGTCAACAACTGACGGAGCTTGGTGGTCTCCATTAATTTACCAAAAAGTGGACGATAAGACATATTTTATGCTGGATAAGTATAAGAAGGAGAAGTAATAAAATTAAATTAAAATCAATTCACTATTGTTGTTTATTTTTAAAAGAAACTCGCGAAAGCGCATAATTTCGGTTTGTATAATAAACAAATATATTAGATTTAGAAATTTTAGTTCAACAGCTAAATCGCATGCATTTCGAATTAAACTTGGGAATACTTTGCTTTTATTAATAACAAGAAAATATCAGGCTTTACTTAAAAGAATTTTTATGTTGTTACTTCCGCCCAAAACTCTTGGCTTCATTAAAAAAAAAAAAATGAAATAGAAGAATGAATTTTAAGAGATTTATGAAGTGAGATTTTCAAACAAATTTTCGATTTATGAAACATACTTTTTTATGAGTAAGGATGTTTGTTAATATATTTCCGAAAGTATTTAATCCTACAAATTTAAATATATGTAAAATCTTCTAACTCTATTCTACCTTTCTTCAAAGGTGTATTAATTCGGTATTTACCTTATCTTATCACTTTAACTGAATAAATTTTTCAAATAGGTGGCAACCCGCTATAAAAATATTTTGGCAGTAAACTTTACTAAAATCCTTAGTTTTATACTCGTACTACTCGTACATTTGTTTTATCAATTTAATAATTGAATACAATTTTCCAAACAGATGGCAAGCCTACACAAAAATATTTTTGTCTGCAAACTTTTCTAAACCTCTTTAGTTTGATAGCCATCTTGCAATATTTAATTTATTTTATCAATTAAAGCAAATTAAACTTTTCAAACAGATGGCAACCTTCCACAAAAATATTTTCAGCAGTAAGCTTTCTTAAGCCTCTTTCTTTTGACAGCCATATTGCTATATATATTTTATCTTGTTAATTTACTTAAACTGCAATTTTCAAACAGGTGGCAACTCTCTAATTATTTTTTCCTGTATTTTAAGTTAGGCAATGCACCTATGTAAACAGCACTTGATTCCATGCATTGGTTTTCGAGCGATGCGCGTACAAACATACAGACAGACAGACAACAATTTCTTAGAATTGTTGATTTGGCTTCTGTTGCCCTAGTAAAGACACCCCATATTAATTTTTCTTTAATATCTATAATCTCGGCCTTTTACAATTTTATTATATGTGTAGATAATATTTGAAATTAATTAATTATTTCCGCTAGGCATATAAATAACAAAAAAACAAAAAAATGCCATGTGGATTTGAACTTAATGGCTAGTTTTATAAGCATCCTACATTAGTCGTAAGATATTCAAAACTTCTGGTGCACAAAGTCGAAAATTTGAGCACGCTTTTATCGGAATGTATCACAGTATAATGAATAGAGATTTTTATTACATTTTACTTAGTTTGCTTTTGTACTATTTCACGCGTAATTATTGTTGATATTTTTTCTCCGAAGCCACACTAAAAATAAATAAGTTAGACAAGTCATATTTATTTTAGGAAAACATTCGCTTGCTTTAGCGTTGTAACTGTGTCCCACTTGCTTTTGTAACACTGTGGAATTTTGATTGCCATTGTTGTCTATATTAACCATTATTGATTTTCAGATAATGATAACAATGCGACATTTTAATTGCCATTAATGCAATTTGTCAGTTAACTCCTCGATTTATCACCCCTTCTCTTTCATTAAAATTCCCTTTCATACTTCCACTTTATCAAATTACGCAATTAATAACAAAAAATTAAGTAATTCCGCTGTATTAATAGGCACGTAATTTGCGCATTAACAGAGGGGAGGGGTGCGTGAGCTTAAATCTAAATGATAATGGGAATCAAATGAATCTAGTGAGAACGTATGTATGTATTTAAATATGAAATACAGTGGCATGCAGCCTGTTTATATGCAAAGTAAGTAGATGTGTGCATTATTTTTAAGGGCGAAAAAAGAGGGTCTTTCATAGCCAAATGTTGTTATTATAGCTCTTGATGCACCTTAACCCAGTAATTAGGAGACTGGACAAATGTAAATAGGATTTCCTCTCTCAATAGCTGATATGACGATAAGTGCCGCGACGTTGCTACCGACGTTGCCAGAGAAAGACCCCCAAATATCTTACCTTTTTCAAAAATATTTCAAAATAAGATGTTAAAGCTAAAAGAAAACTGTTTCGATCCCAAAAAAAACTGTATTTAAAAATACCCCCTTAAGTAACAAATAATTCGATATTGGCTTTACAGCTAGCAAAAGTATTTAAAATTCACAGAAAGGCTTATTAGCGAAAAATCTAAAGCAGTCAACAGTATTTGGGTTAATATATTTATTAACACGATTTAACATCTGTTTAAGTTAAGAAAACTAACGCTAAGTAATTCATTGATTGCACATTTTGATTACTAAGTAAACACTCGTTCATTATGAATGGCAAAGGCATTTGAAAATATTCGCACCCATTTATTTATTGGCCAGCAACGTAGCCAAAAGTTATAATCTAAACAACTCTAATTCAATTTACGCGCATACATTTCTTATATAGGCCATTATCGTTATTTTGTAAGGCATATGCTAGCGGTTTTTGGCAAACGGATTTAAATAAGTGGTAGTAAATTTTGCGCTGACACTTATTTGACAGTAATTAAATTGATTTGTGTATTATATGTGTGTGTACATAAGCACATACCCTAATCTTATCACATATAAATTTTGCTCGCGATTGGAGACGGTTAAGGCGTGTCGCATAAGGGGTCTAACTTCAGATTACCCTATGAAAATGTCTTAGCCGACTGCAATGGGGACCAAAATTTGTATGTGATATCTTAGACTTTAGTAGTATCGATACATACATATGTATGAGATTAAATTTTCGCCAATAAAGTGGAAGTTTCAAGAGGTTAAGAAATCGCTTTAATTTTTAATAATTTTAAGCGGAACGAGAATTTATCTCATGCTCAGCATAAACAAAATTTCTTTGGTCTTCTTTCGGCATTCCTAATGTATAACTTTTTTAACGTTTTTTTGTCGATATCCATGAATAATATGATAACCAGGCAGGCGTGAATACACACATTCAATCCTGAATATTTAGTCAAAAATGCGGTTGCGCCTCAATTTGCAATGACAAACTTGTGAGTTTATAAGCAAGCATTTTGTTAAGATGCCATCAATCATCATTTTTAAAGCGCGGTCTCTTCCATATAGAAGTGCAGGCAAGTTTCTCCACAGCTCAGTTATGAGTTTCATGTAAAAAATCTAAAATAAAATGTTCCATTATTTTACAACAAAAATGCTTCTTTGTTCAAACATGAAAACTCAATTACTCCAACCACTCTGTAATCTTGCATGCAACTCAATTGGCCTTTAGTAGGTTCCACCAAGCTCCCTACCTATCCTTTTTGATCTTACGCAAGGTTAACGGTACGAAGAAAAACTAAAAATCTTTTTGTAAA